GTCCCCCTCCCCCTGATCCCCCCCGCCTCTGGCCACCCCTGGTTCTGTCACCTGCCCTCCCCGATCTCCACCGGACGGCCCCGCTGCCCCCAACCTGGCTTCTGCTGCCCACCCGCCTGCCTGCCCCAATCTCCGCGGGACAGCCCCGCTGCCCTGCTTCCCAGCAGCCGGTTCTCTCCCCCCACAAACCTCCTCCCAGCCCACCCCGCTGTGCTCCCCTCCCGGCAGCCACGCTGAGGCCCGTTTTTTTTTTTTCCGCAGCCCGGTACTGGGCCGTGGCCCATAGTTTGGGAAACGCTGCTCTAATCTTTCTAGGTCACACTGGACTCTAAGCTCTATCCCTGCTCTCCAGCATGTCTACCTCTTCCCCTAGCTTAGCGTCATCTGCAAACTTGCTAAGGGTGTAATCCACCCCCTCATCCAGGTCATTAATAAAGATGAACAAAATCAGCTCTAGATCTAATCCTTGGGGCACACTGCTAGAAACCGACCGCCATCCTGACATCGAGCTGTTAATCATTACCTGGACAGTCTTGCCAAATTTCTGTCCACTTTACAGTCCATTTATCCAATCCACATTCCCTTAACTTGCTGGCAAGAATATTGTGGGAGTCCGTTCCAAAAGCTTTCCTAAAGTCAAGGTCTATCACATCCACTGACTTCCCCTTTTCCACAGAGCCAGTTACCTCATCATAGAAGCTAATCCGATTGGTCAGGCACGACTTGCCCTTGGTGAATCCATGCTGACTATTCCTAGTCACTCTTGCACAGGAGTCATTCTTCCAGAAAATAAGTGGCAGAACAGCTTTGCACAAGAGGGGTTTTTTTGCACAAGGAGCAGTGCAGACAGCCCCTTTCGTGTGCAATAGCCTTTTCCGGGAAAATGGCAGCTCATTAGATATGCAAATGAGGCATGGCGATATTCATCCCCGTGCCTTATTTACATATCTTCTTGCACAAGAATGTGCAGTGTAGACATCGCCTATGTGTCTTCTCCCCCTGCCCGCAGCTTTCTGGAGAATGTCCTGGAGTGACATCTTCTACCCGGACAACCCCCGGCGGCGGGAGCGGGTGACACGGTTGCACCAGGAGCTGATCAACTGCATGGAGCTCAATTTTGATGCCACTAATGACCTGATTGGAGCCCTCAACACCCACTGTCAGTGCAAGCTGCACCCCATCCACATACAGGAGAAAGGCACCCTCCAGGACAACTGCAACGTGCTCCTGGCAGCCATAAAGGCCGTGCAGGGTGAGCTGCAGGACATTGACGAACAGCTGAAGAGAAAACTGGAGCCCCACCTCTACCGAAAGCTCCATGATTTCCAGGAGCCAGAAAGCAAGAAGATGCAGATTCTGCGCTCTGTGACCACCGTAGTTGCTGGACTCACTGGCACCGTGGCTATGGGGATCTTCGTTAAACTGGCCTTGTCGGAGGTGGGAACCATCATCCTGTCCAGACTTATGACAGTCGTGGTGAAGATCGGTGTCTCCGTGGGCGGCGCCGTAGCTGGCATCCTTCTGGGCGCGGGTGTCGACATGATTGTCAGCGCCATCCTGGGCGCTGTAGAAAGAAGCCAGCTAGAGGAGGCGATTGAGGAACTCGAGGGGATCGTGAAGGAGTTCAAGCCGGCCTCCAAGGAGTACAGCAAAACCATCATGAGGGTCATGCTCATGCTGTCATGACAGGCCACACTGCACGTCACTACTTCGGGAACTAAGGCCGTGGGGCCAGCTCCTGCCTTAACACAGCCCCCTGAAAGGCAGCACAATAAATGATTTCTAGCTCTTCTCGAGTGCTAAAGTGTCCTTTTCATCAGGCTTCATTCACAGGATTTATCCTCCCACTGTGTCTGGGGAGAGGACAGGGCAATCACCCCCGTTCTACACAGGGGGAAACCGAGGCCCAGAAATTCCCAGGGATTTAAGCACTTCCACTGATCTCAGACCACTGGGACCAGGTGCTCTACATACTCAGGCATCACTAAGTTCAAAGGTGGCTCGCTGCCTAACATGACTTGCCCCAGCCCGGTACAAAAGATCTTTCATCTGCCGGTCTCAAAGCACTTCAGAAAGGTCAGAGTCAATACCACCCATGGTACACTGGGGGGGAAACTGAGTCACAGAAAGGCACTGAGCCAACAGGCCAGGAGCAGCTCCTGGACTGAGAGCATGAAAATTCAGTGAGACGTTTACCTGCCAAAGTCAGCACCTCCCCTCCAAATGTTCTGATTTTGAGAAAATGGCTGTTTCCTTTGAGAAATTGTCCTATCAGATGTTTCCCAGGCAGTTCTCTGCCCAGCCAGGCCAGTAGGGTAGCCAGGTGTTCGGTTTTTGCCCAGACAGTCCAGAAACTGCATCTTCTTTCTGGTAAAAAAAACCCCAGAAAATATTTTCTGTTTTTCTTGGATGGCAGACTGGCAGGGGTGGAAGGAGCAGCAGGGAGCAGGGAAATTTAAAGGAGCATCTTCCTTTTCTTTCTTCTTCTTCTTTTGTTCTACCAATTTTTTTTCTCTGCCATATTCGGGATTTTTTGTGTAGGTATCTGGCAACCCTACCGGCCAGAGATTCTACCTCAGGGTTTTCTGTCTGCAGCCCAGGTCCGAGGAGAACTCCAAGGCACAGTACATTTTCAACCTTTGCTAGGGTGTCAGGCAGTGCTTTTTTTGTTTAAAAAAAAAAGGTGACGGTACTCTTTAAGACCCAGCCGACTGTCTGCCATTTTCATTACAGAGGTGCTGGTACTCTCTGTTCTTTCCAGGTAAGCTCTGACTGGAGGTGCTGGTACTGGGTACTGGGCAGTACCATCACAAAAAAACCACTGGTGTCAGGTGTTTCAATTCAAGGCCTCTTACACCAAACGAGGCCTGTGGATGGGAGGAAGGGGAAAACGGGCATTCATTCCAGAGCCCAGCGATTCTAAAAGGCCCGGGGCTCCCAGCTGCTGCCACTGCTGTGCGGTGCCCTTCAGAATCACCCCTGAAGCGCCCACCGCACGCTCTGGCCAGCACCGAGGGCCCGGCGGAGGAAAGGCGGCGCCACACGCTCCGGGTGGCTCTGAGTGTTGGCTGTCCCAGCTCCGCCCCTTCTGCCCAAAGCTCACTCCTTCCAGGGGTGCAGAGCCAGCCCCCCACTCCCCTATTACCTGTCGCTTCCCCTGCCTGAAACCAAGCCTGGACTGGACGGGCTGGGGGGATTCCAGCTCTGCCCCAGGGGGCCAGCAGCCAGCCAGGTTTTCAGTATTTCAGGGCCGGGCTTTGGGTACGTGAGGGCCAAAGGGCAGAGACGCCCCTTGTCCAGTGATTTCTTCTTCAGCAGCCGCTTCTGTTCTCAGCTCTTCATGGGCCCCTGCAATGTCCTGGTGTGGAGAAGGAACCATCGGCCCCTTGTCCGCCGTGAGCAAATCTCACCCCCAGCTCCCCAAGCAGCCCCCAAACTACAAGCAGTATTGTCTCCGTTCTAGTCCCTGTGGGGGAACTGAGAGCCATAAGCTAGTGGGGGGAGTATAAGATCGAGGACACGACCAGGGCACAGAGGTAGGCGAGGATGGCAGCGGGGTGGCCAGGCTATCGTGCGTGTGGGGGTGAGATCTAGGCATGCCATATTTCAAGGACATGTCTGGGGCAGAGGGTTCAGCTCTCTGGCCTCCAACTCGGGAGCCTGCACCGCTGCCAGCCAGCACAGGAGACAGGCTGGCTATTGGCGAACCCCTCAGCCAGGACGAGGTTTCACGCTTACTGCAACTTGGCAGCAGTGGGGGGTGTCATGGGACAGTTTGCAGTACCGGCTCCTGCCAGCCTAGCCAAGCACCCGGGTAGGCCCAGGGAGTGGAACATGCATTGGACAAGGCCAGGGCAAGGCCTGACAACACAGACATTATTGTTCTGGTCATAGGAGGGCCATCCAGGATCCCCTACACTTCGTCCAAGCGCCATCGAGCTGTTGATCACTACACGTTGGGCCCAAGCATCTAGCCAGTTTCTATCCACCCTCCAGTCTGTTTATCCAACCTAGACTTCATAAATTGCTGGCAAGAATCCTGTGAGAGACCATATCAAAAGCCTTGCTAAAGTCAACGTAGGTCACATCCACCAACCTCCCCGTGTCCACAGAGCCAGTCACCTCGCCACAGAAGGAATCCGGGTTGGCCAGGCAGGACTTGCCCTTGAGGAATCCATGTTAGTTGGCCAGGCAGGACTTGTCCTTGAGGAATCCATGTTGCCTGTTCCTGATCACTCCCCCCTCTTCCAAATGCTTCAAGATGGGTCTGTAGTTCCCAGGATTGGCCTGCTTCCCTCTTTTGAAGATGGGTACTGCCAGTGGGTAGCGCGGCCAAGGCACAGCACCACGATCCCTGGTTTGCCAATGCGCTTTGAGCTTCTGGGGCTCCCATCGGGGCGACCTCAACTAACAACAGCAGAGGGGAAGGTGGGGATCAAGGCGGGTTGTGCCCAGCCCCTTGCTCCCCACAACGGTCAGCCTGGGGAACAGGACAGGAGGCAGGAGGAATACTTTTGCTTTGGTCCAAGAACGGTGTCATTTTTCCTCAGCATCAGCCAATGGTTGGGTGGTTCCCAGAGGTTCCCCATCCAGGGGGCGCCCGGTGCCCACATCACCCTCTAGGACATGAAGTGCCAGCACTGAAGCTGTGACTGCACGTGTCCTGGGACCCCAACATCCCGGACACTAGAGAACGTCACGGCTGATGGAGCTCAAAAATCAGCAGGGAGAGACGCTGCGAAGCTCCGGAGGGATCCAACTCACCCCTTGGACACTGGCCCGTCCAGTGAGGGCTGGGATGATACACGACAGCCAGTCAGCAGGCGCTTCACATGGACCTTTGCGCTGCTGTAAACCCAACGAGGAGTCTGGGAACTGTTCTTTGGATGTGTGTTTGGATGTGTATGAAATTCGGGGACCCCCAGGACTGCTGCCCAGGAGTACCAGTCTGCCACCCACCGATAAAGACAGAAGTCGGGTGGGGATACAAATGGCCACTCGTGCAGTGACAAAGAGGCCTTCTGCATTAACACTGTCATCGCAACCATCAACAGACTGAAAAGTTCATCAGAATGTCAGATTCAGGCCCATGAAAATATTGAGAAAACCATCGGTGGACTGACGAGTTTGTCACCTACCGTGTCAAGTTCCTTGGGCAGTGAAGAGATCGACAGTCCATGTCAAAACTACCCAGATGATCTCCCAGTAGACCAGTCTCCCAGTAAATAATTTCTTCAATTTGCTGAGGTCACATCACTCTCAGGATATGTCTACACTACCCCGCTAGTTCGAACTAGTGGGGTAATGTAGGCATACCGCACTTGCAAATGAAGCCCGGGATTTGAATTTCCCGGGCTTCATTTGCATAAGCGGGGCGCCGCCATTTTTAAATCCCCGCTCGTTCGAACCCTGTGCCGTGCGGCTACACGCGGCATGAACTAGGTAGTTCGGACTAGGCTTCCTAG